GGCCCTTCAAATTTTAGTGAGAAATTTGCATTTTTTGAAAATTGAAATGATGAACTATGCATACTCTATCAAATTATTAAATGACATGCATGCATTGATAGAGCATGATTTTAGAAAATTTTAGAAAAAAAATCATCAAATTTGGACTATGTATGAGAGAGATTAACAAGTTTGAACATTTTACCATGGATTAAAAAAAGAAACACAGTTCTACGATGAACTCATGTCCAGAATGGCTTAGTACCATGCAGGGCCCACTTGTCATTGAAACAACCTGCTTGGCCCCACTTGTCATTAGGGCCCACTTGTCATTCAAACAACCAGCATTTCTTTCTTGTTGTAAATCAAGAACAAAGCAAGTCGGCCCTTGGCCGCCCACTATGCCTCGAGTTTGGCGCCTGCCATTGCCCCATCATGGTGACCCAAGCTTGTTTGCCTCGTGACAAAGACCCCCCCCCCGACCCCTCCCACGACAACCAGCCTCCCGTCCACCCAAGCTGCAGGGCACCCTTGGTGGGGCCTCGGCAGCCTCAGGGTTGGCTCGCCAGCCGGGCCACCAAGGTGGTGCCTCGACGGGCACCCCTGGTGGGGCCTCGGCGGCCTCCCCTACCGGCCTCCCTAGAGTGGTGGCTTGCTGGCCACCAGGCAGCAGGTTCACCGAGCAACCTGCTGGAGGCCCATTGGCCACCCCCAGCTGCAGCACCTGCCTCTCGGGGCGCTAGAAGGTGAGTTTTTTTCCCTTTTTAAACTTTGCACAAGCTGATGGATAGAACCTTGATTTGCATAAGCTTTAGGTTGTAACAAGGTGATGGATTTGTAACATTGTAGCAATGAAATTTATCCAGGTAGTAGATGGACAGAAGCTGGATTTATAAAGAGCTTACCATTTGATCCGGTCTATATAGCTGGTGTTGACCAATTTATGCAACATGTGAGAAGTAGATTTCATGCAGATGACAAAATCAAGTGCCCATGCCATCAATGCCTGAACCGAAAAGAAAAAAGTCATGTTGATGTGGAGGAGGATATCCACATCAATGGTTTTTGTAGGTGGTATACAAGTTGGATTCACCATGGAGAGGTAGATGGTGAAATACAAGATGAAAATGACCAGCCCCCCCTTGATGAAGATTTGTTATGGGATGAAAATGACCAGCTACATGATGAAAATGAGCAGCCCCCCTTCATGATGAAGGACTAGCGCAAGATGTCATAGAAGATAGTGAATGAGGAGTTGCGGGGTTGGTTCAAGATTTGCACACCGTAGCAAGCCATGGCTTCGATGGTAATTTATATAAACAAATCCTGGAGGAGGCAAAGCGTGAGCTTTATCCAGGTTGCACCGAGGAGTCTAGGCTAAGTTTCATTATTAAACTGCTACATATAAAAGTGTACAATCGGATCACAAATTCTGGGTTCGATGCATTCCTTGAGTTGTTGTCAAATGCATTGAAAAATGTGCCTGGTCTCCCTAAGTCCTATAGCGAAGTGAAAGCTCTACTCTGGAAGCTTGGTTTTGGTTATGACAAAATTGATGTGTGCAAGTATGACTGTGCCTTGTTTTGGGATGACCATGCAAAGGATCAACATTGCCTAGTTTGTGGCTTCACAAGATGGAAAGTAAACAAGGAGGACAGAAACAAAGTTCCTCACAAGGTCCTGCATTACTTTCCAATAATTCCTCGCTTTCAAAGGTTCTTTTTGTCAAAGTAGCGTGCACAGTATGCAAGATGGCACAAGGAAAAGAGGGTACCAGTTCTGAATGAAATGAGACATCCTGCTGATGGAGAAGCTTGGAAAGAATTTGATGATACTTTCAAGTCTTTTGCAGATGATCCCCGCAGTTTGAGGTTAGCCATTGCTACTGATGGATTTAACCCATTTGGTCAGATGACCAATTCATATAGCATCTGGCCAGTGATAGTGGTTCCCTACAATTGGCCACCATGGATGTGTATGGACCAATCGAATTATATGCTTGCTTTACTAATTCCAGGCAAAAAATCACCAGGCAAAGATTTCCATGTGTACATGCAGCCTTTGATAAAAGACATGCTTAGTCTTTGGGACGGTGTCCGTACTTATGATGCATATGAAGGCAAAGATTTTGATCTGCGTGCAGCGATTCTATGGGGAATCCACGACTACCCTGCTTTAGGTACCATGTCAGGCAGAACCACTAGGGGTTACTTCGCATGTGTTAACTGTGATGAGAATCCATGCTCCTGCGGTCTTAGAAACAAAATTGGTTTCATAGACCATAGACGTTTCCTCCCTAGCGACCATGAATGGAGGACAAACAAATCTTTTGGTAGGTATGAAAAAAGAGAGCAGCCAAGGAAATTTAGTGCAGACGAGGTCACGGCTAGGTTGGGTGAAGTTTGCTATGTTCCAGGCAAGAATCCAGATAAGCAGCAATCAAGGAAACGGCGCCATGAAGGAGAACTAGTTTGGCATGTGAAGGCTAGCATGTATGATTTGCCATACTGGTCACATCTGAAGCTACAATACAACCTTGATGTTATGCGCATAGAGAAAAACATATGTGAAAACATTTTGCACACTCTACTTAATACTCCAAATAAGACCAAGGACACAGTTGCTGCTAGACTAGATTTGGAAGACAGAGGTATAAGAAAAGAGCTTCATTTGGTAGGAGACCCAAATAAGCCTAGAGCTTGTTATGTTCTAAAACCTGAAGACAAGAAGAAGTTCTTGCAGTTTGTCAGCAATGTTAAATTTCCAGATGGTTATGCTTCCAATATATCAAGATGTGTCAATATGGAGGGAGGAGGATCAATGCATGGGCTAAAAACACATGGCTGTCATATATTGTTGCAACGTATTTTACCTGCTAGCCTTCATGGTTTGGTGCGCAAAGATGTATATGAAGTACTTGCTGAATTGGGTAGATTTTTTAGACAACTTTGCTCGAGAACACTAAAGGTAGATGCACTACACCAGATGAAGAAAGACATTGTACTCATCCTTTGCAAGCTGGAGAAAATTTATCCTCCAGCATTCTTTGATGTTATGGTTCACCTAGCAGTACACTTACCTGATGAGGCACTCCTTAGGGGACCGGTTCACTATGGATGGATGTATCCCATTGAGAGAAGATTGGGCACCTTTAAGCGTTTCGTCCGCAATCAAGCAAGACCTGAAGGCTCTATTGCAGAGGCATACACTGCCTATGAGTGTATGACCCAGTGCTCAACATATTTCAGTGACATTATTAATAGGTTCACTAGGCCTAAAAGAAAATTAGATGCTGACCAGCACATCTCACCCAATGGTTTCTGTATTTTTGGACATGGTATTAACCTGCTCGGTGCTTCGAATCTTCAGTATCAAGATAAGGACTATGACTCTATGGTTTGGTTTGTTCTGAATAACTGCGAAGAGGTTGATGAATACAAAGAGTGAGTAATTGTCATTTTAGTCAACTATATTCAATATTAGTGTCACAATAAACTGATTAACTTCTACCTTTATTATTGCAGCAAGTTTAGGGAGGAATTAGAACAACAAGGGGTGAACGATATTGATACAATGATGTCAACACGCTTCGTTGCATGGTTCGAGGATCATGTGTGTGCAACTTCAACAACATGACTGTATAATTTATGATTCAATACATTTTTGAACTCACTAATTGTCTTTCTTTTGAACCTATAGATTACCAAATTGAAATGTGAAGGCTCAACAGATGTTGATGAAGACCTATACTCACTCGCATGTCGCCCAATTAGGCGTATGCGTTCATACACAGCCTGTATAATCAATGGGGTACGATACCACACTTTGGCTCATGAGGAACATAGGAAGACACAAAACTCCACCATCAAATGTGTAGGTACTCACAATGATGACACTATTGACTTCTATGGGACAATCACAGACATTATCGAGTTGACTTATGCAAGGAACAGCAGAGGAGATAGAATTGTTATATTATTACGGTGTCAATGGTACCATCTTGATGGAAGGACATACAGGATGAAATATGATGGTTACTTCAAGAGCATTAACATCCAGGGCCGATGGTATAAGACTGATCCTTTTATTGTAGCCACGGAAGCTTCACAAGTATTTTTCTTGGAAGATACAAAGTTAGGTCCAAGTTGGCGAGTGGTACAAGAATTTGGCCACCGACATATATTTGATGTTGAAGAGTCCGACGGAAAGCAACCAATTCATGAACAAATACAAATGAGATGTCAGGAGGCATACCAAGAGGAGAGTACTTCATTGGAAAATGGTACATTGGGAGACATAGATCCTGGTATGGATTTGTTGAACATGGACAATGATCCAGACAGCCCTATTAGTAGAGACATTGTCGAGACCATCCGTCGACGACAACATAGAGCTCAAGGTGAAGAAATAGACAACGATTATGAAGATGAAACCTTCCTTGAGTACCACAATCCAGATGAAGGCAACATGTCAGAAGACAGTGATGATGACTAACTATTGCATTTCTAGAACTATTTGTGAACTATGAACTTGTATGAGTGATGATGAGTAACTTTTGCATTTCTGGAACTATGCAGTGATTTTGTTTTCAGTGCATACTTGATGTATGAGGATGTTACAGTGCCCAGAATTCATTCACATGATGTTTATATATGTAGTCCAAAGTTTTTGTGTTTTCATGACACATGACAATGTCATGGAATGCCCAGAATTTGTCATGGAAAGTACAGAATGTGTCACAATAGATATATGCTAAAAGTTACATACAAGCTGCCATAATTTGCTCCCAACATACATCACAATGCACAAAACAGATGTCCAAGAATTTCACAAACATGCTGCAAAAATTTCAACCCACAACATTTTCACATCCAAGCAAGGGATCTTTATTTCAAACATAACATGTCAAAGAGCACAAAGGCCCATATTCCACCACAACAGGTTCAATACTACATGTTCTTCAACACTACAACATGTTCTTCAACAGCATTGCCTACTTCAACAGAAAAGCTACAACTTGCCTACTTCAACAGAAAAGCTACAACCATGAAGATGGCCAACACTAAGAATAGTGTTACATTCACACATCCACACACAAGGCAAATGCAGCTTCTAATGCCTTCCCTGTTCTTGCCAACTATTTCCTTCACCTTTTTCAGATTTTTCTCTAAGCTATCAATTTTTCTCACCACCTTAGGGACTTTAGTTGTCAAAGCTTCTGCGATGGTCGACCCAGCTGCAAGTAGATCACCATTATCGTGAAGGTACACCACATATTCTTCCTCAAACCAATAGCTCTTACATTTCCCCTGCATCCAAACGACAACAATAGGCAATGAAATTGGAGCAAACATAAATGAAATTGGGGCAAAATGCAAATTGAACCACTGCACTAACATTTGAAAAGTTCTTCTTGGGACACTTGAAATATCTCTTTCCATTGTTACACTTAGTTTGCGTCGTTGTGGCAGCAAACACCCTGACGTCCCTACAATCCGGGCACATTATCAAAGGCAACCCGGTGACATCATCCTCCATTGGCTCCACATCGGCAGCAGTGGGCAGAGGGGCTGCAGCATGAACAACAGCAAGGGGGGCAACCCTAGCTGACCGCTGAGTGCGAGCAGTAGATGACGATGCCTACAACATGATGCCTGAATGAGAGACAGGGGATTCATTAGGTCATTAAAGGAGCAAATTTCTAATTAGCAAAGTGTAGCAGCCAAGCCAATTCTATCCATTCAACATTTCTTCCAAGTCCACCAAAACATAAAAATATAAATCTACATATATGTCTTTCAGTTTCATATCATCAATTCATTTCAGGGGACTAAACCATTCAGTTTTTGTAATTTGCAATAGTTACTCCAACAGAAGCACGGAGTTCTAGCCTTCTAGCCTTCTGGAGAATGGATACTCCAACAGAAGCACAAAGTTGCTCCAACCTAGATAATGGATACAGATCCACAGAGTTCTAGCCATTCAATCTGGAATTTGAACTAAAAAACAAACAAACATCAAGCACCACACACTCTACACCTTCTCTGCCTCCGTGGCTCGCTGCTAGCCGCTAGGGTTAGACGCGCTGAGAGAAGAAGGCAGGCAATGCTCAAAGACAAATGGGGAGGCGATGAGGGCATCAACGTAGACCACCAAATGGTGGGGGGGGGGAGGGAATGGCGGTGGCAGTAGCCACCATCAGCACCTTGGGGGAGAAGGAGCACTTGGGGAAGAGGCCGCCGTGCCATCAGTTGGGGGAGAGGGCGACCTGCCTCCGCCCAGATCCTCGCCGTGCTCGCTGCAATGCAGCCCTACCACTCGCCGCCCTTCGCTCCGCCAGGCGCCAGCGCCATCGCCAGCTCCATGCTCACCGCCCTCCGCTTCAGTTCGGGTCGGGGAGAAGGGGATAATGATAGTGGTCAACCGATAGGGGTAAGGTCCACCCGCAGGGGTATATTGACACTTCAAACGGTCATTTTTTAATGTGACGCCGCCAGATCGTCACACAAAAATAGGTCACAGTGTCATATAAACAAAACCAACGACGGGCACCAAGCGTGGGACATTTTGTGACGAAACTGCGTACCTTTATGTGACACAATAAGGAGGTCGTCACAAATAATTCTGGGGCTCATAAGTTTGTGACCACACAAAAAAAATCATCACAAAAAATGACATTATATGACAAAAACTATCCCCGTCATGAGCCATTTTGTCACAAAAAGTGAGATTTCTTGTAGTGTTTGTTTTGTGAGTACATGAGCTCTTGGATGTATGGTTCGTTAAGGTTCAAGGCAAGTTTCCATGAAGAGGTGGATAAATTTATTGAAGCCGCAAAGAAGCATGCAACGACATTGACAGAGAATAAGGATACAATTATTTATCCCTGTAAAGATTGCAAGAACCATATGGTATGGACAGATGTGACTATCATCAGATCACATTTCATTAGACTACACAGTGTGGATTCATCATGGTGAAATGGTTATTGTTAATGACGAGGATGAGGAGGAATACGATGACGAAACCCTAGAATCCCTGTCCCAATATTCAGCAGAGCTTGATGCACGAATGGATTCCGAGTTAGGCAATGAACAAGATGGTGATGCTGGTGGTTGGGATGGTAACGATGAAGGTGGTGCCAATAATGATGGTGGAGTACGTGTCGGGGATGAAGATGATTTAGAGGACATGATTCGAGCCCTTGGACCAGAGATTTTACTAAATAGCCCGAAAGGTTTAGAAAATTTAGAAAGGGTGACAAAAGCATCGAAGGAGACTGTGTATGGTATTGAAAAGGGCTGTCCAACACATTGGACATTGCTACGTTTTGTGCTTGAGCTACTCATCCTGAAGGCTAAGTACAACTGGTCAGACTGTTGTTTCAATGATCTATTGCATCTCCTGTCATGGGTGCTGCCATAACCAAACTCAGTTCTTGCCAACACATACCAAGCGAAGAAGGTCATAAGTCGATTGACAATGGGGGTTGAAAAAATCCATGCATGCCCCAACCACTGTATACTTTTTTGTGGCGAAACGTTCAAGACACTGGATAAATGTCACCGGTGTGGGGCCAGCCGATACAAGAACAATGACCTTTACAGTGGGGACGAAGCCTCCATGGAGAAAAAGAGGAATAAGAAGGATACAAAAAAGGTGGTACAAGAATCTCAGCCCCTAGAGGACACTCCATTAGGCAACGATGCAAAGTAGAGAAGAATTCCTGCCTTGGTAATGTGGTACCTACCAGTGACCGATAGCTTGAGATGTATCTTCCTAAACCCTAAAGAAGCCGCACTCATGACATGGTGGGATGATGAGCGCAAGGTGGATGATGATAAGATTGCACACCTGGCTAATTATAGTCAGTGGCAAAGGTTCGATGAGAAGCACAGAGAATTCAGCAATGACCCAAGGCATATACGGTTTGGCTTGAGCACCGATGGAATGAATCCCTTCAATGAGAGGATGAGCGACAACAACACTTGGCCAGTGATCTTGACCATGTACAACATCCCAACGTGGTTGTGTTAGAAGAGAAAGTACCTTCTCCTCACTATTCTTATTTCTGGCCCTAAACAATCAGGTATTGATATAGACGTGTTCCTCGAGCCTTTGATGCAAGAAATGGAGAGGCTATAGAGGCATGGTGAGCCGATGTATGATATGTTCCGAAAGGAGGACATCATATGTAGAGCAATAATATTTGTTACTACCAATGATTACCCCGCGCTGTTTGCTTTGTCTGGACAGATTAAAGGGAAGACGGGATGCTTGGTTTGCTTGGATGGTACTACATGGGTGTACCTGGATGCATCCAAGAAGATAGTTTACCTAAGGAACCGACGCTTCTTAAAGACAAGTCATAAGTACCGTAGCAAATTGTTCTTTAGATTTTATGACAACACCCTGGAGATTGAACCCCCTCCGGAGAGACATCGTAATGGAGAACACGTGTACAGAATGGTGAAAAACATACGCGTCATCTATGGAAAGAAGAATCCGGATGGGACAAACAGAGATAGAAGCACACCTCCTGTCGAAGGCGTACCTTTTAAGAAATAATCGATCTTCTTTCAGTATCTGCCTTATTGGCCAGACTTGGAGGTCTCCCATGCCATTGATGCTATGCACATGCAGAAGAATGTCTTTGAGAGTCACATTGCTACCTTGATGGACACAGGCAAGTTAAAGGATGGTCTGAAAGCACGGAAAGACATGGTGTAGCTAAACATGATGCCACAGCTTCACCCGGTACATGAGGCTAATGGAAAATATACTCTGCCCGCGACATGCTTCAACCTAACACCAGACAAGAAGAGAGCTATATGCACTTTCCTAAGGGGGCGTCAAAGTCCCGACTGGGTTTTCAGCGAATGTGAAGAAGCTAGTATCGATGAAGGACTTGTCAATAACACACTACAAGGCTCATGATTGTCATGTGATGCTGATAGTGTTTCTACCTATTGCAATCAGGGCTATAAAGCTAGAGTTCTTGAAAATGGCCATCACCCGCATGTGCTACTTCTTTTCAAAGATCTCACAGAAGACGATTAGTAAGCAAGAGCAGAGTGACCTATATGAATTTGTGGTGGAGACACAAAGCCAACTAGAGATGTGTTTACCTACTCCTTTTTTTTGATATAATGCCACATCTCATGATTCACATGGTTCATCAGATACAGTTGTTGGGCCCTTGCTACTGGCATGAAATGTGGTCCTACGAGCGGTTCATGTCGGTTCTAAGTCGATACGTGCATAATCGAGCATACCTAGAGGGCTCCATGATATAGGGTTACAGTACTAAAGAAGTCATTGAATGCTGTCAAGAGTATCTAAAAGTACAAAAAGGGATTGGTAAACCCGATTCTCATCACAAGGGTAGGCTGGCAGGGAAGGGCACCAGTCGTAGAAAAGTGTTCATCGACCATGATTACAAAGAGGTGAGTCGGGCGTATTACAGTGTCTTGCAGAGTACACAACTGATGCAACCGTACATTGATGAACACTTGACTATCATTATGGCGGTGACAAATGGTCGTTCGGATGATTGGGTCATGAAACAGCACAAGCAACGACTAACTACATGGTTGAAGGACCAAAACATACCGCCTAGAGAAACCATATACTCTATTATCATCAGTAAGTTGGCGGAGGGCCATCGAGACAAGTGACATCTTGGAATGCTTATGACATCAATGGGTATACATACTATACCCACACAAAGGATAGTAAATATGTGAACCAAAACAGCGGCGTTCGAATAGAGGCTCTTGATGTATTGGGGTGAAAGATCCGATACTTTGAAATCATTGAAGAGATATGGGAACTTAACTATGGAAGGGATATAACGGTGGCCCTGTTTTGATGCCGTTGGATCAAACAACACCAACTAAACGAGATTGGATTGAGTCCTAGACCTCGAGAATCTAGGCTACCAAGATGACCCTTGGGTGCTCGCTTCACGTGTCGCACAAGTTTTCTATATGTCTGACCCACAAAATAACCTCCCCCCGAAGAAGAAGACAAAGCACGTGGTTGCCTCCGGGAAACAACATATTATCAGAGTTGATGGCATGGACGATGTTGAAGCTTACAATAACTATGATGAGATGCCGCTATTCATAGACTTTCTTAAGAAGATCAGTATTGTGGAAAAGAACCTACCCAAAGACATATTGCCATGGGAACGAAAAGGTGTCAAGGGGAAAGTCGTTACAGCGGGCTAGCTAGTTGTTGAACGTGGAGTGTTTGTGTAAGTGTGTGTTTGTAAGACTTCATTTATGCATGCGTGTGAGACTATATATTTATATATGTGTGTAAGACTATATATTTATGTATGTGTGTGAGACTATATTTATGCAAGTGTGTGAGACTACCCTTTGCAACATCCAGATGAATCTATTTGAACATCCACTCTATTACTACTAAAATTTTATGAAATCACTTAACACTTTATGAAATGAAGAAATGACAAAAATAAAAATAGGAGATCTTGATGAGTTATACAACTTTTATATTCATTACCTTTACAGCTGAAATCATTTCGTTGTTGAAAATCAGGTTTAAAGTTGTCATTTTTTGAAATTCAAAATTTGAACTGTTCAAATTTTATCAAATAAAAAGATGATCAAGATAAAAGTTGTAGATAGTGATGTGTTCAACAACTTTTATATTCATCATCTTTACAGCAGAAATCATTTAGTGGTTGAAAATCAGGTTTGAAGCTGTCATTTTCTGAAATTTAAAATTTGAACTATTCAAATTTTGTCAAATAAAAAGATGACCAAAATAAAAGTTGTAGATAGTGATGTGTTCAACAACTTTTATATTCATCACCTTTACAGCTGAAATCATTTATTTGTTGAAAATCAGGTTTAAAGTTGTCATTTTCTGAAATTCAAAATTTGAATTATTCAAAATTAGTGACAAACATAGATGACTAGACTAAAATGATAGAGCATGATTTTAGAAAATTTTAGGAAAAAAACCATCACATTTGGAGTTAGTATGAGGGAGAAAAACTAGTTACAAGTTTCAGCCATAGATTAAAAAGAGAAATCACACTTGTTCATCATTAATCATCACGAACAATTGTGATTTTTCTTTTTAATCATTGGGTAAAAATTTGTAACTAGTCTTTCTCCCACATACTAACTCCAAATGTGATGATTTTTTTCCTAAATTTTTATAAAATCATGCCCTATCAAGTTATTGTTTTGATTTGGTCATTCTTTTCGTTTGACAAAGTTTGAACAATTCAAATTTTCAAATTTAAAAAATGGTAAGTTCTAAAAAGATTTTGAAACACCAAATGATTTTAGCTGAAAAAGTGATGAATACCAAAGTTGTATAACTCATCAAGATCTACAACTTTTATTTTGGTCATTTCTTCATCTGACAAAGTGATAGTAAACATTGTTCACAAATCAACATGTCTCTCGTATAGTTTATGAAACTATGAGTGATATGTGGATTTGTGAACAATGTTTACTAACACTTTGTTAAATAAAGAAATGATCAAAATAAAAGTTATAGATAGTGATGAGTTCAACAACTTTTATGTTTATGACTTTTTTTAGTTGAAATTATTTAAGGTTTAAAAATCTTGTTTGAAGTTACCATTTATTAAAATTCAAAATTTTAACTGTTCAAATTTAGTCAAATGAAAAGATGACCAAAATAAAAGTTGTAGATAGTGTTGTGTTCAACAACTTTTATGTTCGTGACTTTCTTATTTAAAATCATTTAAGGTTTCAAAATCTTGTTTGAAGTTGCCATTTATTGAAATTCAAAATTTGAACTTTTCAAATTTTGTCAAATGAAAAGATGACCAAAATATAAGTTGCACATCTTGATGAGTTCTACAACTTTGATGTTTACAAAATTTTCATTTGAGGTCATTTCGTGTGCTAAAATTCTATTAGTTGTTTTGAATTTCAAATTTTCAATTTTTAAAATATTGTTTTTGTAAAGAAAATAAAGAATTAAAATAAATTGAAAATTATTTATAAGGGCGGCTAACTCAGGAACCACCCCTACAAATTGATTTGTAGGGGCGGCTAATTCAGGAGCCGCCCCTACAAATGAACTCCGGTATATAAACCAGAGCCCGCGGGCAGGAAGAAATTTTTCTAAGTCTGGGCGCTATTCTCCTCCACGACGCCGGCAGGCTACCGGCTCTGTGCCTTACCTCTGTCGCCTCTGTGCCCTACCTCCACCGCTTCCGTGCTCTACCTCAGTCGTGTCGTACCTCCCCCGATCCGCCGCCAACCCCTGGTCCGTCTCCTACCCTGCGCGTCGCCGTTCCTCCCGGCGGCTAGGGTTTCCGCCGCCGTTCCCCTTCCCACGGCAGCTAGGGTTTCTGCTGCCGGTGCTCGTGGTCCCTCCCCCCGACGGCCCTAGTTCCCAAGTGCCCGTGCGCTCTCCCTCCACCGCCTCTGTGCCCTACCTCCACCGCCTCCGTGCCCTACCCTCCGTCGCGCCGTACCTCCCCCGATCCACCTCCAACCCTCAGTCCATCTCCTGCCCTGCGAGCCGCTGTTCCCCCCGATGGCTAGGGTTTCCGCCGCTATTCCCCTTCCCACTGTAGCTAGGGTTTTCCCTGCCGGTGCCCATGCTCCCTCCCCCTAGCGGCCCTGGTGCCCATGCCCTCTCCCTCCACCGGCGGCCCCGATGCCGGTGTGCCCCGGCATCCCTGCTCCCTCCCCGGTGGCTCTGGTACCCGCCGTGCGCTCTGGTGTCTGCTCTCCCTCCGCTGGCCCCGGTGCTGGTGTGCCCCGACGTCCCTGCTCCCTCCCTGGTGGCTCTGGTACCCATCGTGCGCTCCGGTGTCCGCTCTCCCTCCGCCGGCCCCGGTGCTGGAGCGCCCCGACATCCCTGCTCCCTCCCCGGTGGCTCTGGTACCCGCCATGCGCTTCGGTGTCCACTCTCCCTCCGCTGGCCCCAGTGCTGGTGTGCCCCGACGTCCCTGCTCCCTCCCCCGACCATTTGGAAGTCCATCGCCCACTGTTGGCTTATAAGTAAGTTGCTTCTTTAGCATGAGATCATTGATAATATTATGGTGTTCAATCTTTTTTCCCCGTAATATTATGGTATGCACTAATAATTAAAGCAATGGCCAATGGAGCATGAATATTTTTATTAAGTCAATTCTCCCATATCTCTCATAGTGTACTGCTGCCATTGTTTCGTAGTTTATCTATCGGTGTTTTAGTAGTAAATGGGACACATATTTTTATACTAGTTCAAATAAGAGGTGTCATGTGTCATGATGTTTTATATTCGGGTTAATCGTGAGTAGAAGGGTTGCAACTATTGTCTATTATAGGTATTGGCGTATTGCTATAGATGGGCTCTGTATCTCTTCTTGTAAACTGTGAAATAAGGGTAAAGATATAGTCTTATCTTGATTCGTTTACAAGTTGGTTATAGTCTTTTACAAAAAATGCAATCATTTTTAATGTATATATATCTTGGTTATGCCGTATCTGCTAAGTCGATGAGGTAACCTAAGCCAGATTTGCTCTTGGCCAATCGACCTGCTCTACACCCTCCTGAGAGTCATTTCTGACCTCGCTGAAGGTATCCAGAGCCCACGTACTCGATAGTAGCCCTTGAGTTCTTTCATTTGGTTGAGCTTGCAACACTCTAGGTGTCATCTCTGCAACTTGAACCTAGTATCATTCTAATTTGACCAACTTTAAGTCATAAGACAAGCCCCACTCAACCCTCTATTTATCCTAGCTTCAAATTTTTTATTTCATTTTGATTTCTTATATCCATAGAACCTTAGAAAACCTTTAAATACATCTTAACACAAATATTAGTTCTAGACTTGTGTTGTCATCTAAATCGACAAAAGTAAATATAATCATGCATGTGGTATCTGATCCTTGCAAGCATGCTGCCACAGGAATAACTGCTTCATAGAATAACTGGAATAACTGCTTCACAGAATATTGATTGGGACACAACTAGAATAACTGCTTCACAGAATATAGAAAAAACTGTCTGGCACAAATGCATAAGTACATCTAAAACTTACCCTTAGAGAATGTCTATATGTAAAGAAGTGTTTGGAGTTTGGAAACTGATTTGCCTTCTAGATTTTGTTTTGATCTCTGTTAACACCTCTAATCTGAATATCCTGCAATTTGAGCATCAATAAGGTAGCAGACTACGTTTGTGTCAATATTAACTAATTACTTACTAGTTTGACACTTACATTTGCGTCAGCATCAAAATTAAGCTCTAGTTCTCCTTCATCATCATCCCATAGATTGTATATAATAATTTGAGTTCCTTGTTCCCCTATGGAGCCAAACTATAGATAAGCAGCATACAGGCATCAAGAACACATAAATGCCTCCACTGGAAATGAGTGTATACTATTCCCAAAGCAGAAATAAGGAGACCATTGTATTACTGTCTCTAAGTTCATACACCAATCAGTCAATGTTGTCCGTGCCTTCCTTTTCCATTCCTTTTCTTTTTCATAGTCAATCTGTGGGGTTATGTACAAGCATCACTGCATTAGTGAAAGCTCATGTCCAATTCACTAACTTCATCACTTTATATCAAAAAAAGGAAGACACAAGTTAGGGCATGTTTAGACTGCTCTACTCCATGACTCCCTCCCAAACGCCTAAACACAAACTTTCAAGTTCCTGAAATAGAAGTTCCAAATTTTATCAAAATTCCAAGATCGGGTCATGTTACATTCTTCTTCATGATAATGAAATAGAAAATAGAGAAATCTTAGTTTATTGTTGTCTTCCATCAGTGTCACTTTAGTTGGTTTAAAGGCATCACCAGCTTAATTGCTTTCTGCCAATGCCAAATGGTACCTGCTACACTTCTACCATTAGTAAATTGATGCTTCTGGCAATGCCAATGGTACCTGCTGCACTTCTACCATTGTTTCTGCATCACCAACACTATATTATTATGGTGCTTTAGTCTTAAATTGCTTTTTGGATTGGTATTCTCGCTTGCTTCCACGCACCCATCTGGTTCGTTTTTTCGCTGTTGCTTCTCTGGTTTCATCGGCCGATGATGCAAACTATAGCAATCTGAGGTGGCTGTGGGTATTCTTCATGTTGGTGCTTTTTTGTCTTCTTGTGTTATCTCATGTCTTTCATCAAACCATGGGATATGTCCATTCCCAAGCAACTATTGTAGGCATGCCTACCTGATGGCTAGGATGGACGTGTCCCACACTTCCATGGGAGCCATGAACTTGCCTCAGCAATTTGTGTTCTTATTTGCCACATGGGATGATTGCAGTTAGCTTGCAAGATGATCATAAGTTAGTTTGCAGTTAGCTGAGGCCTGCATTTTTTTTGTGACTATGATGTCCACCATTTTTTTGACTGAGGCTGATACAATTGTGAGATCCTTTTCATGCCTATGAAGATAACAGTGCCAGTTGAGTAATGGATTATGCACATTGATGACCTTGGACTTGTGAGGTACTGGAGCATTGTTTCTTCTATCCTCTGCTTATGCTTCTCATGGCTATCATCAAACCATGTGAGACATCCATGCCCAAGCAATAGCTGGGCGGTTGTGATAATCTGACGGCTGGGCTGGATGTCTCTCATGGTTTCATGCCTGTCATGATCTTGGTTTTCTACTATCTATTTAAGGTTTGTTGATGTCTATGTTTCTTAAGCTCTAAGTTCAAGGTCAAATGAAAAGGCAATTAAATATGAGGCAAATCGATTGAACTAACCCTCATCTTATCAACATCTTATACTTGCTTTCATCGATCTGCATCTATCTATCTATCTTCGATCCATCCATCTAGCACTGGTTCCTTCCTTCATCATGAACTACCACTGCTCATGTTTGCAATGATATAAGATGGATGCTACTGCTCTGCATCATCATGTTCATATATGCTCTTCATTCCCTGCTAACTAGCTCTTTTGCTGCTGGTACACCTGTACATCATATTATTCCTTCCACATATATATCATGGGCCATGGCTGCTACCTGCTACATGCTACTACTGTCTTACTACTACTGTCTACTATCATATTATTCCTTCCAACTGCTGGCTGCTGTGTTGATTAAATCTGACCTTGTGTTGATCAAAGCTGGCTGCTGGCGATGCACCCCCCTTCTCCTTTTTTTGTTTTGTTTTGGAGGTGGGTAGGTGGGGAGAGGTTTGGGGGTTCGAGGCTTACTCTAGTGAACTCCCCCTGTGCAGAATTGTGAATTGTTGCCATCACATTTTGATGAGTTTGCTTCTGAGGGCAGGGGCGGAGCCTCATGCAAGCAAAACTAGGCACACCTTGGTTAGTCATCGGAAAGAATTTTCAATGCCCAAACATGCATACCTCATTATTTAGCACCAAAGTCGGCAAAGCTTATTCATTTCATCTCCCAGCTCTCACATTCCCATCCCATCATCTTCTACTGAGAAACCAAGAGGAAAAATTGCCGTCGCATCGCACACAAATTTGTCCTTGTTCGCACCTTATATTGCTCCCTCTGTTTACTCTCTTTTTACTCTGGCTGCCAGCCTCTCTGATCTGGACCAGTGGCCGGCGCCTAGAGCCAAAAGAACAGAGTGACATTGCGACCGTCCCCAACCCCCAACCCAAACAAACGTCAGTTTAGTCGCTTCTCACTTCACTTGTGATCGTTCTCTCTCTCATATTAAAAAACATGGATAAATCCTACTCTACACTACTCCTACTATCTACCGTACTGCTAATCCTACTCTACACTACTCCTACTGTCTACTGCTAATCCTACTCTACACTACTCCTACTGTCTACTGTACTGCTACTCTACTTCTACTACTCTACACTACTCCTACTGTCTCCTCCTCCTCCTACTCTACTAGTACTACTAGCTCTTTGGTGCTAATCTGCTTTGGTCTTTAGTCTTTGCTTTTTCTTATCTTTGCTAGTGCTGGTTGATGCTCTCTACTACTCTACTCTACTCTACTCTACTACTCTACCCCTACTGCTACACTTACTCCTATGACTACTCTACTCTACTACTCTACTACTCTAGATATATTCTGCCCCCTTCTAGAAGCTCGTTCTAAATTGTGAATTATGTTCATCAAGTGTTGTTTTAGTTTTAGTTACATCTTGTAATTGCTTTATAGATTAAATGACTATAAACCTATGTCAGCATAAAACATTAATCAGTGCTGTTGCTGAACTTTCTTCTTCAAATATATTGCATTAGAGTAGAAATATGTTCATTTCTATTTGAGTTATTTTATTTACTATTGTTGTCCTACTATTAATACTGCTGCTGTCCTACTACTAGTACTACTGGTTGCTGTTTTTCCAGTGTGTTAAATCCTTGGTACTATGCATTACTATGCATCCCTATGTATTAACTTGCTCTATGTTTGCTAAGCAGCTGTCGTTTTTTTTGCCAAATCTCCCAGTTCTCGCCCAGGACTTGTCCTGTATTTTGCCATCAGCTGCTGCTCTATGTTTGCTAAGCAGTTGTTGGTTTTTTTGTCAAATCTCCCCTCTCCTCTCCTCTCCTCTCCTTTGTTTTGTCGATGATGAAATTGTCGAAGTCCATACATTATATGGAATATGAGCTAATGATCAAGAACTTGTGAGGAATTTGGCATCATTAGCAGCCGCCCCTACATTACCTTCTCATCTCTTCTCTATTTATGATGCCTTGATGTTGTAAGTTCAGGATCAGATGATGATTGACATGTTTCTGAGGCCTCTACTACTGCTACTACTCGTTTTTTGATATATTATTGTTTTATAGGACTACTTTGGTTTATAAACCTTTTTAATTTCTTATACCTTCTCGCATACCTAAAGCACACTTTCTTGCATCTATTAGAACAAAATGCGAAATAATGTCGCGGACACCAGACAGTGTAGCCCGATGCCCCGAGCACAATGAGTAGCCAACCTATGAGGAGCAAGTACTAGAGGACCAGCTTACTTAGGAGCAGTTCAATAACGAGTTAGAAAAGGATCTAGAAGTGATGCTTAATCAGGAGCAGTGTGACGAGGAGGAAGGGGGAGCAGAAGGAAGAGCAGGAGAGGCTGCTGAAGGCGAAGAAGAAGAAGATGATGATGATGATGAGGAGGAGGAGGACTTAGAAGAGGGATATGTAAGTCCTGAGGATCCTTTCCCACGTGAAGCCAGAAGGAGGCCAACGGAGGAAGATTTGGACAAGGATTTTGACCCGAGCGAGGAGGTAGGGAAAAAGCATTAGCTTGTAAATTTTGCTAAAGCTTTGGCTATGTTACCTCTACTAACACTTTGACCTATTGTATATACAGATCCCTCCTAAAACTCAGAAAAGATGACATCGGCGTCCGTGACTTCTCGTTGGACAAGACGGAGTAGAGGAAAGGAGAGTAGAGGCAACAGCCACAGAGACGGACATTGAGGCCTCTGCTCCACAACCTTAAGACACAACCACGACTATCAAGCCTAAGAGGAAACGAGGGGATAGAAAAGCAAATAAATATCCAGATAAGGCATGCTATGTGATAATGGAGGTCGGGCCAGCAGGGGAGATCCTTGAGCCGAAGGAATTAAGAGGACGATTCCGTAATGCGATCAGGGCCCTAGTAAGAGATAAATTGAACCCAACAATTCCTAACTAGAAAGAGGTACCAGAGAAGAAAAGGATGAACTATGGGATAGGTAGCTGAAGCTCAATTTTAGATTTTTGGAGGGTAAGCAAGAACTAGTTAAAAAATACTTTCAGGATCATGGGAGAGTCATTCCGACGTTGGAGGTCAGAGCTCAACAAGAAGTATATCCAAAAGGGGTTAACTCCCTTCAACGAGTTCGGCAACATAACTCCTAGTCAATGGGAGGAGCTCATGGCTTAGAAGACTTTACCAGAGGCATTGGAGCTCAATGCTCGTAACACCGAGCTAGTGAAGAGGAACAAACACCACCATCATCTAGGCCCCGGTGGCTACTATGCCAAGGAAGAGCAGTTTGGGAAGATGGACGAAGAGGCCACAGCTGCTGGGAATATCGATGTGATGAATTTGAAGGTACGCTCAAGGAATTGGATATATGCGAGGAGTACATAATCATCCGGTGGTAATCTTAAGTTTGATAAGCCGGAGACCCAAGAGGCAGTATCAAGGATACTAAAATATGTTGAAGACAAGGAGAAGGGCTCATTCAATCCTTCCAGAGAGAGGGACAAGCTTAGCCTTGGCTTGGGAAACAAGGAGCACATAGGCCGCACCAGGAGACTAGGGAAAAGGATGACCTGGAAGCACGAATTCGAAGAGGACAGGCACATGTACAAGAAACATGGCAGAGACCGGGAGACTAATCTTGAGCTCCAAGTGAAGGCTCTAGTTGCGAAGGCGCTGGAGGAGCAAGGACTGTCTATGGAGCCACAGATATTAATGACGCCACCGGGAGAACTGACATTAGTTGGTAACCCTCTAAAAGTTCCTAGCAGCCAAGGTTCCACTGAAGCCACAACCCCCATCGATCGCATATGGGAACCAACTAGTTGCACCTTGGTGTTTCTCAGCGGCCGACAGAACATTGTGATGGAGGTGGCAAAGGGTGTGGTACATCCTCCTGGTGGCTTACACCACAATAATAAGATACTGCCGGACTACACTAGGGTCGAGGTGCATACTGTGAAGCCTGAGTTCATGCAGTGGAGGATAGACTACGCAACTCCTAAGGGGCTGGTGGTACTCGGAGACGTAATGGGGCAGTTCATCCTCTGGCACAAATGGGACATTATATTGATTGTTTCTTCGCCGCATCCCCCACTGCCAAATTTGGAGCGAGTTGTTGAGGTCGGGGAGATATTTTCACCGTCTTGTGACCACCACATTCCTGAGATGCCACATTCTTCTCTGCCTCCTAGCAAGCATGTGTTTGATAAGCCACAACCTTCTCTAGCTCATACCGAGCAAGTGC